TATATATATATATATATATATATATATAAAAACTCTGACAGATGCATTTATATCATTATACAATTTACAATTTTGCTTTTTATATTCCTACTTTATGTATAGTTTTGTAGCATCTGTTAGTTTGTTTTTGTTTTTCTTAAGATTGTTTTTAAATTCACTACCGGTCAAAGGTTTGGGGTCAGATTTTTTGGTTTGAGTTTTTTTTTAATAAACCTATTCTGTTAATCGAGGCTGCATTTATTAAATGTAAACAAGATTGATAAATTGTCAAATAGTTATTAAAATTATAAATAACTGCTTTCTTATTGTATGTTGTTTCTTTACTCCAGTCATTGTTGCTTTTATTACTATTATCATTAATAATAATAATAATAATAATAATAATAATAATAATAGTAATAAGAATAATAAATAGTAGTAATAATAATAATAGTAATAAGAATAATAAATAGTAGTAATAATAATAATAGTAATAAGAATAATAATAATAGTAATAATAATAATAGTAGTAATAATAAAATTCATAATGAATAATATTAAAATGATTTCTGTAGGATCATAAGACTGAAGTAATGAAGCTGAAAATTCATTAATCACTGGAATAAATTAATAAATTAAATTATAATCTACTTTTAAACAGTTATTTTATAGTGCAAGAACATTTCACAGTTTGTACTGTATTTCTGATTAACTAAATGCAGCCTTGGTGAGCAGGAGAAGCTTATTTTAAAACATTTAAAAATCCTACTGACCCCAAACTTTTGACTGGTAGTGTCCCTGTATTTTGTCTATTGAACAGAACTGAGAATATATATATAGATTGAATATACATTGAAAACAAATTGTAGAAAGACTGTTTTCTAAGCATTTTAAAATATTTTGAACTGTTCAGATGATCTGCCACAGAAGTGTTTTGACCCTGTTTTGTGTGTATGCGTGCCTGCGTGCGTGCATGCGCGTGTGTGTTCGTGTGTGTAGCGTATGTGCTGCAGGTGAAGGTGGAGATGGAGCTGGAGATCCAGCAGTACGAGAAAAGCAAAGCCGTGAGAGAAGAGCAGCTGGAGAGACTCACACAGATCTGCCAGGAACAGGCCGTGAGTACACACACGCACGACAACAACAACAGCTCAATTTTAGCATTAGAGATGCATACTCCAGAGTATAATGGTGTGGTCATGTCAGATAAATCATATTTATTACGAGTGAAATGCACAAGAGTGTCACCACAAAGTTGTCATTATTTCTGAAATAGGTGCGTATCAGTGAGAAACATGGCAGAATTACTGATCTATAATCGAGAGTTATTATGGATGCAATTCAACTCTTGTCTGTCACTGTTGAGCACCATTTTGTGACTGAATAACATGTAGGTAAGTATTTATTCAGCCAGTTTAGTTTAGCTTTGTGTTTCTGACTGTTGGTGCCCTTTTGGGACTGTATAATGCGTAGGTTAGTGTATACTCCATCAGCTAGTTTCATTCAATCTTTTTTTTTTTTTTTTAGGATCATATAACCAGTGGGAACAAGACAAACAAATAAAAAAAATAATAATACACACATATATATATATATATATATATATACTTGGTTTCTGCTACATTCATTCCAATATAATATAATGTAATGTTATATAATCAATATAATATAATATAATTAATATAAAATATAATATTAATTAATAGTATTCATTGACGTAATCATTTTGCCATCCTGTGACATTTTAATATATTTAATATATTAATATAATATATTTTGAAATATTTAATTTTCACAGTATTTCCTATAGTATTTGTTTTCTTCTGGAGAAAGCCATTTCATTTGGCTGGAAATAAGTTAGAATAAAATAGTTTTCAAAGCGAAAAAGAAAAGAAAGAAAGAAAAATGTGTGTGTGTGTGTGTGTGTGTGTGTGTGTGTATATATATATATATATATATATATATATATATATAAATAGAAACTACCCTGTAACCTAACTTGCCTAGTCTAAGCCTTTAAATTAAGCTGAATACTAGTATCTTGCAAAAAAAAAAAGAAGTCAAATGTACTGTTACTATGGCAAAGACAAAATTAATTAGAAATGAAAACTATTAAAAATGGGTTTAAAAAAAAGATCTCTCTAATAATAATTTGGACTTAACTGTGTTATGTGTGTGTTTAACCAGCAGAGGGCAGCACTCAAACACACAATCACTTTTGACTTCAATTTTTGAAACTATATATTATATTATATTATATTATATTATATTATATTATATTATATTATAATAATTATATTATATTAATTTTATTATATTAATTATATTATATTAACTATATTATATTAATTACATTATATTATATTATACTAATTATATTATATTAACTATATTATAATAATTATATTATATTATAATAATTATTATATTAATTATATTATATTGACTATATTATAATAATTATATTGTATTATATTATACTAATTATTATATATTATATTATATTATATTATATTATATTATATTATATTATATTATATTATATTATATTATATTATGGGCGAATTAGTGGAGCAGTATGTAGTGCTATCGCCTCACAGCACGAAGGTTGCTGGTTCAATCCTCTGCTCAGTTGGCGTTTCTGTGTGGAGTTTGCATGTTCTCCCTGCATTTGCGTGGGTTTCCTCCGGGTGCCCTGGTTTCACCCACAGTCCAAAGACATATGGAACAGGTGAATTGGGTTGGCTAAATAAATAACACACTAATAAATAAAATAAAACACTAAATCTGTAGTGTGTGAGTGTTTGTGTGAATGTGTGTGTGGATATTTATCAGAGATGGGTTGCGGCTGGAAGGGCATCCGCTGCGTAAAAACTTGCTGGATAAGTTGGCGGTTCATTCCGCTGTGGCGACCCCGGATTAATAAAGGGACTAAGCTGACAAGAAAATTAATGAATGAATAACAATTACATTATTATATTATATTATATTATATTGTATTATTGACAGTAATTTAAAAGTGCTTTTGTCCACTCAGAATAATGTCCACAGTCATTGATGAATTTAAACTGAACAGCATGATGCATAATAAATGTCTCTCCTATTTTAAAAGCAGACTGAGCTCATGCTTTATTACTGACGGGGTCTCACTGGATGATGCAAACTGGCATTTCACACTGCAATCCAAGCCAGAGCATTACATAAAGCAGAGACGTGAGGCGTCCAGCAGACAGAACACACACTACTGTACATGTGCTCCTGTTAGGGGGGAACAATAGA